CTTTCGCCATTAAACATTATTAAAATTAGTCTTCTAACAAACAAGTACCAACTGACTACGAAGAATTCGATGATAAAGCATCTAAAGATCGTCAACGATCTCGTAACGATTAGTGACAAGATGTTAGAAAATTATTTATTTATTTCTTTTAACTGCCTCCGTGGCCGAACGGTTACCATGCCGGACTGCCACGCAGAGGTTCCAGGTTCGATTCCCGGGCCGGGAGAAATAGTTGTATGGCCTACATTTATTTCTCTCGTGAGTTTGGGTGTAATTTGTGGTTGTCTATGTGTGTTTTCATGGCACCCGCGACACAGGGTTTCCCTAGTGCGGGGCTATGTTGAGTGTGTGCGTTATTTATTATTATTATTATTATCATTATTATTATTATAGATAAGGCACATCAACAGTAATAGATATACTCTTAGAGAACAGTGTAACTTTACTTTAGTATTGTACTTATATGTCTCCCTTTTACAGACGTACACAGCAAAAAGAGCAACGAAGAACTTATGAAATTACTGGGGAAACGATTGGAGAATGTTATTTTTGAGAACATTACGGGAAGAATGAGAAATGTCTATATTTATTCGAACGTTAATTTGGTTGTAATAGAGGATAATCTAGGTAGTAGACTGGGCAGAACTAGATTAGTCAGGCAAATAATGTTGATATATTTACTGAAGTGCTTGACACTGAAACTTTAGACAGTGGGCTACATTTCAGGTTAGATTACAAGAAAATTACAAAAACAGTTCGAAATGCGTAGAGTCCATAAACTCTTTAATTAAGAAAATTTTGAAGTCCCCGACCCGCATTGAGCCAGCGTAGCGCACTATGGCCTAAACCCTCGCCTGAGAGAAACCCAGCCCAGAAGTATGACGTAAAAATGGGCAGTGGCGTAGTGTCGATTCTTGCCAACCGGGGCCAAACTTAAATTTGCTTCCCCCTCTATTTTCACGATTACAAGAGTAGTTCGTTCGGGCAGCCTCGTCTCGATTGTGTTTTTATGGTCGCTTGTCGTCGCCACCTTTGTGTTGTTCAGGATTTTCTCAAATAGTGGAATTTATTTTCTAATGTTAACAAAGACCACTTTTACTCTACATCGAAATTGTCTAGAGTATAGGAACTAGATATGTTTTTCATAGCGATAATAAGCAAGCAATAACCGCGTACCGCGTAAAAAAAGCGTACCGACGTCTTCTAGCATACCGTGCAACTATACTTGGTATATTAACGTCTCGCACAGTATGCTAGAAGACGTCAGTTCGAATTCGACCAGATCGAAGGAATCTATTCTAAGTGTTCCATCTTTGTATTAATAATTATAACAAACTAGTGAAGTAATTACATAAAAAATAATTAAATATCAATTCAATAAAAGCTTAAACAATCATAGTTTGCAAAAGTGGCACTTACGATTTTTTCGCTGTTTTTAATAGTTAGTTCTAAAATTTGCTTGTAAAATGAAAACTTTTGCTGTTGTCACCTTACGGATCATGAATTGTTGTGATTTATTACTATAATTCCAGGTCAATGTAGTTAAACTGCCTCCGTGGCCGAACGCTTACCATACCGGACTGCCACGCAGAGGTCCCCGGGTTCGATTCCCGGCCGGGAGAAATATTTGTATTGCCTACATTTATTTCTCTCGTGAGTTTGGGTGTAATTTGTGGTTGTCTATGTGTGTGTCCATGGCACCCGCGACACAGGGTTTCCCTAGTGCGTGGCTATGTTGAGCGTGTGCGTTATTATTATTATTATTATTATTAAAACCAACTCTTCTCTATTGTCTCGAGTCTGGTTGTTTCCGGTATCGCCGTTGTTCCCGATTTACCTAATCCAAGCGCTTTATTTACTTAATTTGTGATTGGAGCACATCTGATGTTGTACAATATTTATTTAAATAATATTATTTATTTATTTGTTTAAACAGACTTTGTTCATAAAGAAATGCATTATGTATTAAAGAAAAGAACTAAGTAGCAGTACCTAGAGGAAGAGAGGAAGTAGGTACTGCTGCGTTACCTATTTCTGCCGCCAAGCAGTAATGTCAGCATTACTGTGTTTCGGTTTTGAAGGATAAGGGTGCTGGTGAAATTACAGGCACATGGCACTTGTCAATTTATATCTCAGTCCCGTCACTTCGTATTATTAAAAAACAAAACACAAAAAGAATACAGACGAATTGAGAACCTCCTACTAATTTCAAGTCGGTTAAAAATGCAAACAGGCCTCGAAACATCAGGCGGGAATACATAACATTATTAAACAACCACCATCATATAATTCGAGTTATCCCCCCATTTCCACAAGCTGCAATTTTGTAACAAAAAGCGAATAAACAAGTATGTTATCTGCGATCGCGAGGCGGGCCGCGCAATTACGTCTAATTGCCGCCTTCATTTCACAGAAATAATTTACTAATACACCTTTGGCCACGCCTTGTGGCCCACCAAATGACGATCTCAGTATGTACTCGTAGGGTAATGAATATTAACCAATTAGATACCTACCTTCTGTACTTGACGATAGTATTCGAGATCAAAAATGTAAACAAACACCTGTCACTGTCAAAGTGATCATAGATCATAAACTTGGTTCCTTTTAATAATCCGTTACTATCAGGTTCTACTTTTTATTTAGAGAGTAAGTATGTTATTTATTTTCTACAAATAAGCATAATACCTAATTGTTTTTGTTTACATACCTACTATTTTTAATAATAAAACGTTCTTTTACGTCATCTATGGTGCCCAAAAACCACATAAAACACAAAGGACAGCCAATGGAAGTGTATCCCCGAAACATTGGCATTAGAATAAAAAAATTAATACAAGAATCATCATGTCTTATAACCTTATTATGTAAAAAATTATAGGGTGTGAAAAAATACTTATATTAATGTTTGTAATGGCCACACTTTTGTTTCAGTTTTTGATCTCGAGTCCCATTGCCGAATGTAAACAAACCTGACGTGAGAAATACAAACTTATATTAATCCGAATTTGCAGAACCTATTGACTTCTACCGTACCAATTGTTTCGAAACATTATTCGTAAAAAAGTGAGATGCTGTTAACGTAGTTTGTTGCTATTTCTCGTCTCTCTGTTTACACGCAGCCGCTCTGGCTATACAAACCGTCACTTTTTTCAATTGTCTTAGTAATTATTATTTCTTTATTTACTCCACAAAATTGCTCATTACATAATTGTGATAGATAATATTGGTAAGAAAGCATTGCAGACATATGCCTGAACTAGGGTGCTGCTATATTTCAGGTCACCAGGTTTTGACTGCCGTGTAAACGAGAGACAGCAAAAAAGTTATTTGTATTAAAATAAACTAACAGCTTTGCTATTCTTTTCTGTTTTTTTTTGGCCTTTTTTCCATGTTCGTCGTGAAGATAAGTTTTAATGAGAAGAGTAATAATGAAATTCTTTTTTAATATTTATTTTAATTTTAACTAACATATTTTTTACTTTTTCTATTACACATATTCTTCTCTTTAGTCTTTTAACAACTGACATGTCCTCACATTGTTTGAGAAAATCGCTATTAATTATTATTTATACAAAGATGGAACACTTAGAAAAATTCCATCGATCCGGCTGAATTCAAACCAACGTCTTCCAGCAAACCGTGCCAAATGTTACAAATTTTTCTATGTACTTGTTGCAGTCTTTGCTTTTGGTTTTTTAACGACTTTTTTGCCGTCGCACCATCTATGAGAAATCTATTTCTTACATACATACCTTACATACCTTTACAGGTATCTGGCTGAGTGAAGACATCTCTCGCCATCTGCTGGTAGCTTTTTACAGCTAATAATTGTAACTTTTTTCTAATTTCACAAAAACATAATTGAATATCATGGTGGTCAAACATCGTAACATTCAACAACTTATAAAAAAAATTAAAATTAGATTAATAGTTAGATACTTACGTAAACCACAAATAGGCATCCAGTTATCTAAATCTCGAATTGAAATCTAGATTGTTATCTCAGGATCCTGTACCCGACTTACATCTCAGACCTCACTCAATCAGAAATACGCCGAACAAAATGCAAATGGCTCCGTTTCTTTCTTTTTTAACCCGCACCGGAATACTGGCTACAAATTATGCAGCTTTTATTTTTAATTGCTACGGACGAGCCACCGTCTTGCCAGCGGCTCCCTGACCCTTCTATTTTTGAATTATGGCGCGCGGACACGTGATTGGTGGAAGCGTTAACGTTCGGAATTTATTAGAGTTGCGTTCAAATGGGTGAGATAAAATCTGAAAATGAAATAGCTAATTGCAGACAGGTAGACGAAGTATTTATTGCCTGTCTTTGTCTGTTGTCGATCCACCGCTCTGTAACTCCATCATTATCTGACTACTGCTCCTGCAGTTAATGATTACGATTAACTATCTCCTTCTTAATTGTCACAATACATTTTGAATATTATATGAATACCTATAAACTTTAGATCTATGCTGGTAAAAAAGTTACACATATCATAATGATAGCTTAACGTTAGCATAAGTAAATGACGATATTAAAATCAAAGTACTATAATATTTATATCACTATATAGTTGCATACTTACCGAATCAAAAATATTTGAGTAAGTCAGACTAGTGTCACTTCTATACTCATAGTTTAAAATTACAGCGGTAAAAAAGATTATGCGCTCTTTTCATCTAAATCGTTCAGAAATGTTGAAGCCTTTTTAAAGTCTTGCTGGCCTTTTTTTATAAACAGAAAAGCTGATTCATGCTTGTGTACGTGATTATTTTACTATGGAGACTGGAAAACTATGCCTCAAAAATTGTGTAACTTTTCAAAATCACCTTGAATCAAAATAATATTATTTCCAAACGAAACAGGGAAATGTCAAAACAATGACATAACCAAACAGGAAGGCAAGGTGCGGGCACAGTAGTTTCATTAATATTTCTTCAAGATAACTGTGACTGTGATTAAAAACCAATTAAACACAAAGTGAACTATCATGTCTTATGCTTTGATGCGCCATTTGCGCCGAACGACATTTTTAAGGCACCAATTTCGCGTCGAAAGTACAATGACGAACTTAACTCAGGAGGACTTCGTATTTCGGCCTCCAATTGCTCAGTGGAGCAAAGTCATCAGAGAAGCAGAGAAGATAGTGGGATATCCAACCTCTTTTATGAACTTGAGATGGTTATTAAGCGACGAATTTGCCAATATCGCTATGCATTTAAGAAAACTTGTGAGTACATTTCAAACACAATCTTATCATTTGTAATCTATTTCCACGTTTATAAACTGTGTAAAATCCAGGTAAGGTTCAAAATAGTATGATAGACGTACATAAAGTGTTTTAAAATGATTTTCATTATGATAAACTTACCAATAAGTATTAAAAGTTATGTAACATGGCCAAGGCCAAGGTAAATGGTTTCATATATAAATATTATGTTAATAAAGAAACTGCATGCTCATATTATCGTAAAGTTAGCATTTGGTTTGCAAATAATATTTGCACGCTTCATTTGTTCTTATGTGGTTGGATTCTAGAAAAGAATTGTCTCTTATTAAAAACAGCTATGATAGCTCAATGGTAGAATGGTTACTTCTCAATGAAGGGGTTTGACGATTTTGTATAATCCTTGTGATAAATCCCTACCACCAGTAAAACCTGATTTTAATTTTTAATAAAATTCCAATATTAGTTAAAAAAGATAATAACATTATAATATTATAAGATAAATAAGATTGCTATTTGTGGAGATTTATAATTAGCATTGTAACTTGTAATATTATCACTTATTTGTATTAATTTAGCTGTTAATCTCCCTAAAATAAATAAATAAATAAAATAAAAATAAGATCAAACACATAACAATTCTTTTTCGACCCGATGGGACTTGAACCCACGACCCTATTGCACTGTAGTATTGCTCTTACCAACTGAACTTCATTCAGGGTCATGTTGATCGAGCTGCGGCGAAGAAGGTTCTAGATGTCACTGGTAGCGCATAATGCCAATGCCCAGTACAAAGATCTTTAACAAATTCACAGGAGAATTTTGACAACTTGATAACATGACCCGTGCCTCAGTTGGTAAGAGCAATACTACAGTGCAGTATGGTCTTGGATTCAAGAGTGGAGTGGTTAAAAATAGAGTCGATAAAAATTTTCATATGTATAAAAACTCATTGAGTCATTTGAAAAAAATTTTCAATAAAACATTAACACATTTAAAAATAAACTAAAATATCTTTAGACATCATTAATAATTACTGATGAATTAGGCTGGTTTCACAGTTGTGCGTACGTGCCATACAGACTGTCCGCGTGCGGGCCATCCGCAATGCTCTGAATCGAATATTTAGTGCGGATATTCACGGTAGGCAGTCACCTGCAATGAAGTTCACATGGAGGGTGTTCCGTATGGAGTAATCCATGTCACTGTGTAACTATGTACTACTGCCACACGAGTTACTCTGCTCCGGTGCTCTGCACTGTCTGCAAACAAATCCGCACTGCTCTGAAACCAGCCTTATTATTTATTTATGTACATATAATAGCATTCTGTCAGTAATAGCTTTCTTTTTTTTAGGTTGGTAGTAACCATCCAATCTTGAAAACAGCAAAGACCGTCCTATACAACGAACATAACAACCTACAACCGTGGGGACTCATCATTTTACTCATATCCAAAGCCACTAATGGACCAATGTCAATGCTACATGCAAATATGGTCAATGAACAACAGCGAATACTGGCAGAGTTAACTGAAATGATTAGAACCGGACATTACATACACAGAGGATTATTAAATGTACCTTTAGAACAACGAAACAAAAATACAGATACTGCTATGTTCGCGAATAAAGTTGCTATTTTGATAGGTGATTATTTACTCGTAACTGCGAACGGGATGTTAGCAAAATTGAAGAATCAAGATTTGTCATATTTAATATCAACAGCATTAAGAGACATGAGCGAAGGGGAATTTTTTGGGGACCGAGATAATCAGAACATGCCATTACCTGGTGTGCCACATAATAAAAGCGTAGAAGATTTTAAAATAAGCAGTGATACATTACCATTGGATGTTAGTGATTGCTTAGGTACTCCAGTAAGAGAATGGTGTTTACGGACTATGTATAATGGTGGATCATTATTTGGACGTGGTTGTCAAGGTGCTTTAATACTTGGTGGGTATGACAAGAGGCAGGAAGACCAAGAAATAGCATACCAGTTCGGCTGCCATTTGTGCTTAGCGTGGCAAGCTGCAAGCGAATTACAGAAGTTTACGTCAGGCAATAAAGAAACTTACTCATTAGTAAGTGCTCCTGTGTTATTTGCAATAAATGATAATCCAGAGCTATATAAAACAGTTGAAAAGGTTAAAAACAACATAACAGATATAGATTTAGAAGATTTCAGGATGGATATATTAAAAACTGACGCAGTGGAAAGAACTAGAATGCTGTACGAACACCATGCGTCTAAAGCAAGAGACTACATTGAAATGTTTGGAACTAGTGAGCCAGTACTTACTATTAAACGATTAATTAAATCGTTATAATCTTAAGTACTGATTATAGTTCAATATTTAAGGGCAATTTACCTAAGACTACTTAACAAAGAATGTGGTGTAAAGAAGGCATAGGTCATAACTATTGGATATAAAAACTGTCGAAACTAGGAAAATCTTCAGATCAGTTAAGGGGTGAAGGGATGAGGGGCTCTATAGACCTGAATAAAGCCAAGTAATCAAAATGTGGTGTAAAGAATAACAGATGGTATTCTAAACTAACAATGCATAAAATGCCAAACTTCAAATTGAAAGTATACATAGAGATAGTTGTACATTGGGCATCTCTCTCCAAGATCAATTTAGGTACACAGAAATCATTAGACATTAGGACAGCAAAAGCGGAAATGGACAGGCCATATGTGCTGTAGACAAGACCACATATGAGATAGAATGGGGCTTGTGTGGAGACTCAGAGAAGGGTGCAGAAACGTAGGCTGGCAACCGACGACGCGTTGCGTCGCTAAACTTTGTTAAAGTGGTGGGGAAAAAATTGGATGAGGAAGGCACAAGACCAGACCAGAAGAAAAGAAATGACGTGCTTGTGAAGAGACCTACACTCAACATTGGGTGGATAGAAGTTGAAAAAAAGAAGATGAAATTACTGGCACATGGGACTTGTCAACTTATGTCGCAGGGTAACGGGCGCAGTGGCAGTGCCCCTCAGATCTTTGTGATTTAAACCCCTCGAGTGGCACTACTACTGTTGATGGACAGGCGTGTAACTCACCATCAGGTGCACGACTTGCTCGTCCAGTCACTTGATATTATCAAAAAAAAATAGAGATTGTACTAATTAATATATACTTCTAGACCCATAATTCGAGCCACTTCAAATTTTTATTCTCAAGGGGCTAGAATACAAAAACATTCTTATCAATTGAAGAAAAAGTTTTCCCAGGTTTTACAAATTAAAATTTTCAACAAGGACTTATTGAAATGACATTTAGTATACCAGTTTAAAAATTACACAAGTTTTTGTTCAAACAAACATTTTTGAAACAGTAAAAAGTACATAAAATTTAAGTATTTGTAACCTGAATCCAAATAAATAAATAAAAAAAATAAAAAAACAAAATATATTAATTAACAGTTTAAACTTTGGACCTTTCATACTGCGGCATAAACTTGAATTTAAATCTTATGTTAATAGACTCGACACGCTCCTGACCTTGTTACAATAAAACAATATTTTTGAATCCTTGTAACTTTATATGAAATTGCTCTATTATTTTACCAAAGATCTGTCTAGAATTCAAAGTTATAGAACCAGTTAAATTAGTGATTCTGGGTATACCCAGAACTAATAAGTTCCTAGAAATTAACCATTTCACATTGAGAGTGATGTTTGGTTTTATTTAATTTTATCATAAATGTATCAAATACTGACAACTTAACAGAGAATGTGTTTTTAGTTTCTTACTTATGTAAGTAAGTATTCTCTGTTAAGTTGGCGAGATTTATTTAGTTATTGTACGTTTTTATTAAATGACTTTATAATTTTATTTCTAAATGAGAATGTACTGCACGCACTGCATATCATCATAAAAAAGGTAGGTAATATTGCAATTACTGCAAAGACATAAGTTGTTTGTATTGTGAGAAAGAAAAATGTATTATAAAGTTTTTTTTAAATATTGTTAAAAATTATAATTGTTGTTCCATAGTTATGTTATTAAATAATAAAAAATTGGGAATTGTTTAAATACAGTATCATTTAGTTACAATCATTCACACCTGAAACTTTCTTGATACCCATCAAGATTGGTGACAACGGTTTGCACTGTGAACTTTGGTTGAGAACGTTCGATTGCCAGCAAGATTAATTTAGGAAATGAACTTTTCTAAATTTATATAATTAATTATTAAAACAAAGATCGAACACTAAGAAAGATTCCTTCGATCGGGCTGGATTCGAACCAGTGCCTTCAGCATACCCTGAGGCAGAGAACAAATAAGTAACGGGAACGGACACTCTCCGCCCCTCCCTAGCTTTAGATACCGCACCACGTTCCCACATTGACTGAACGAGAACAAGGCTGTCGGCGAGCCGTTTTCGCGCTAAGCCGGCTTTGATATTTAAATATAATTTTCATTTATTCATTACGAAATTTGTACGTGTAATATATAACATCATTTTACGTTACTATGGTCGTGAATTGTGCTGTGTACGACTGTTTATAATCATCTAAACGGGATAAAGAGAGGAGTTTCTGTCGTTTTTTGAAAGATGAAACGAAGTAAGTAAAAAAACTTATGTCTTAGACTCATTCAATTATTGTTTTCTTTAGTGCCGAGTAATATATAATACAGATTTATTATATCAATATAATAAGACGCCATAACTTCGTGAGCTAGACAAAGGTTCTCGAATTTTCTATTTGTATTGCCGATAAATATTACGTAGTGAATATACTTTGGTTACTTTATTTAAAGGTACCTGTCCATAGTATAACATTTTAAGTGCTTTTAATATATTTTTTAAATAAATGTTCAATATTATTCTAGTTAGTGAATCAATGAAAAACAATATTGTATCGATATAAATACCTACGTAATTAACATGTGTAATTATTAGGATTCTATAATAGAATTATAGATAACAGATTAGCGTTAGAATTTTCGCTATGTTGCCGCTCTGACCACGTAACGTAATAGTACGAGCAAGTGATGGGTAAACCTTGCCACTTCACGCACACATTTGCGCGTGTGCAGATAACGCCTTGCCGTATGTAGTAGTAGTTGGTAAATAATTTTCCACCGTTGTATGGAGTGTTCGGGGTGTGCCTGAGGGTCGAGCAATTGAGGACCCGTCCCAAAGTTAATTTGTAGTGAGCGTACATACCAACTTAATCTGTCGACCTTCATGAAGGAGGTGTTTTGGCCGAAGGGTGTCCTGCCGTACCGAAGTTTCCGAGGCCGGCTACCGGACACCCACGTTGCATCACACGTCGCAGATAATACGTGTAAATAATAGTAATTAATGTCTTTTTATACAGTTACACATTTTAGTCTGTAAGGTATGTATTTCTGGGCCTTAGTAACCTGAATATAAAGAAATAAAAAATATGACATAAAACCATTGACCTACCAACAAATGGACGTCGGGTCTAATACAAAAACCACGAAAAAAATGTCCGAGGTTAACCTATACAAACGTATTGACATGTAACGAATTTAAAAAACTAAAACATTTAATTTAAATTGTAACGCTATTGCAGTACTGCCTAATTTTGCTTGCAACAATTTAAAGGCCCAAAAACACCATATTCAGCTTCTACTGGAAACTTAACAAAATGCACCATATTTAGCTTCTACTAAAAATTACTTGAACACAAGAGTAATGGAGTAGCCTTTATCGTAAATATTAATTAATTTTTATATGTATTATTATGCCAAATTTTGAACAAATTCACTTAAAGAAATAATAAAGAGTTGGGCAGATACATACATACAAATATTACTACAAATGTGAAAATAAGCGTGTACTATAAGAAATGTACCGATATTCCAACTAAACGTAAACTCAAATATCCGTAATTCCGAAAACCGATGTATAGTAAAACCTTAACGCTTTCGAGTGATTTTGATGCTTATCACAAAGACAAAATTAGCTTTTGTTTTGTAATCTTCCTAAAAAAATACATTTGACATAATGAAAATTCGAGCTAACGTCATTTCGGGCAAATGTATTTTCCGACTTCTTATCACATAATCCCAAGTCGTAAAACGAATACAACAATATTTTGCTTATTAACGTTTACGTTTAATAAAAAAATATTTAAAAATAAGATTAAAATCAAAGCGACTCTATAGTTTCTTTGTTCTAAATATTTCAATCGCTTGCGATTCGAACAATTGAAAATGACCAAAAAGTTTGTAAGCTTCTTGAAATTGACGTAATGGGTCTCTTTCAATCTTATGCGCATGAAATGTATAGAAAACGGACAGTTAGCTAATTGATTATTTTGTGTGCTTTTGTAATTTATATTTACGATTAATTTATATATCAATTAAATACTATAAAACTGTACAAATTAACACTTTTAAATGAGATCTATGATAACACAATATATTTGTTTAGTGAAAATATGATACAAAATCCTGTTTTTCCACTTTACTGCAGTAATTTTTACGTTATTCTTATTATATAGTACTGCATGATTGACAACCGCGCAGTCAGTCGAACAAACGAAGACTGTTGCGCGATTGACGCTCTATAAGCGATTTTAACGCCCTATAGGTGCCGACGCTTTTTAGCGCGAACCCGACGTCCATTTATTGGTAGGTCAATGCATAAAACATGTCCGGAAACGCTAACAAATTCTGTGCCTCTACCATGATCGCTAGCAACCGCGTAAAGTGTTTGTATATATATATAAAATTATGTTTCTTCTTGTGACCGCCAGTGGCGCTGTATAAATTGTCAAACAAAATTGTGAAGTAATTTACGTGGTCGCTAGCAAAAACTGTCTAGTAAACTTGTGGTAGAGGCACAGTTCTGCTTTTTCATAAATACTAACCTAACCTACTACAGGAGCGCACTGTAGGTACAGATAAATATGTCATAAAAATATTTTCTTTTTTTAATATCAAATGACGGGACGAACAATTCGTGCGCCTGGTAGTAAGCGACACGCGGATCTGAGGAGCACTGACACTGCGCCCGTTTGTGGCTAAAGCTGAACAAGTCCCGAGTGCACCAGTAGCGACACGCATGACACGCTGAATTAGGTACCTACGGCATAATTATGTCAATAGTTTTGTTTTTTTTTGTTATTGTTGTTCCTATGTTGTTTTGTTTATATGAGTCTGTGTTTGTGTAATAAATAGTTTTCTTTCTTTCTTTCTTTCAAGTACCATGTGCCTTTTTACACTTCCAAACCGGAACGCAGTAATGCTTATATTACTGCTTGGCGACACAAATAGATAAGGTGGCAGTAATTCCCTGGACGAACTCTTTCACAAGGAGCTGTACTGCTACTTAAAATTTATTTAATATTTAGTCCAATTTTAATAAAATTACATTAAATGAGCGTTATGTTTATTAGAATTAGTTTATTTGATTATCGCACAAATGAAGCCCACACTGTTTGAATCACCTTCAAGTAAATGCAGTATGGTGTGATTCTGTGCAATAAGGGCTTGTTTGGTCTTGTTCTATCTGCAAGAATTTTCTAACAACTCGACATTATTATTATTCATTAATAAAATAAAAACACAAACACAGATAGATGAAAATTTATTCAGCACAAATTAACAAACATTTGCTACAACACAAAAGCACCTATAACAAGCGTGTCGCTTACCATTAGACGCACGACTTCTTCGTGCCGTCGCTTTATATCAGGGTTTCTTAACCTTTTCTAGTCATCTCAAAATGTCGAAGAGCCCATGCACCCTTTCCGAAAAAAAATTTTTCAAAAAAATCTTTGTTATTAAACTTTACTTAATTACATATGAATAGTGACGGTTACTGTTCCATTATATTAGGTAGGCTCGCCATGGACCCCCGGCGTTCATTACATGGACCCCTTAGTAGTCCATGGATCACGGCTTAAGAAACCCTGCTTTATATCATTTTTTTTACACTATATACGTTCAATGTACTGCAAGCACTCCGTGTGAACAGTTTTGGCCATCTTTTGTAGTGCTAATCTTGCGTCTTCCACTTCAAAAGATTCCGTACTCCTAACAAAAGAATATAAATAATGTTTAGATACTTCATGTTAACACATTCCGTATACGAGTACACACAGGACTGGGAAATTAATTAGAATGTAAAGCTGAGAGAATGAGATCCGTCTTCTGTGAATGAAATCGGTAAATATATTTTTTGAGTCATGAACAAAGTTAAATTAACTTCGTTGTAGTAAAATAAATGTTTTATCATCATCATATACGGTTCAAAACACTTTGAACATCTCATTTGAGTAAACTTAAAATCGCATCCTTGGCGTAACACGGTCACATCAGCAAAATTACAACTTTTCAGTAAAGACGTTCACAGATTCCACGAATGTAATTAATCAATGATTTTGTATGCTTAAATACGAGAATTTGCTAAAAACTCTGGTAAATGCTCCATGGTTCACAAAAATGGATGACATTCATGATTATCTGCAAATCTCTTCCGTCAAACAGGAGATAAGTAGCATGACAAAAGCCTATAAAGACAGAATCTCACGATATGAAAACAGGCTCGCACAAGCTATGAACGAACCGCTAACTAACAGACGATTGAAGAGGAAGAAGAAATTGGAAAGATGAAGGCAACACAAGGCGGGCGAGCCTAACAAATAGATCATAACATAACAACTGCTCATGGTCCATGGACCGATCGCACGTTGCAAAAGGCGTCATAAAATAAAATAAAAATACGAGAATTATAAAATTTTATATATACATAATAATTCGTTTCATGAAGTTCGTATCAATGGTACAAAATACATATTGCCTAAAAAAACAAAGACATGACGGAAACCTTGCTCACCCAGTATCAGAATTTAGATATATTCTTTGACAAACAATATGTTATACGGCGCGGGATACCTACTTCTTTTCGTGAACTACCTTTCGAGGGATGGTGTTCTTTATTTATTTATTTTTTTTAATTTATTAAGGCTTTGGCAAAGCCATTGGCCTAAACATGAAGTTTAATTATGTTTCTGTAAATATGAAAGAGGATAGGCAATTTGAGGCGGCGCGCTTGAATTGACTCGGGATTCCTTAAAACGGGCCGATACTATTTTAGTTCGAGATTCGTATAATTTCGCGTTTTAATCTTCGATTAAGGCACAATAGCACTATCCTATTCCACTTTAAACTAGATTTCACAAAATAATAGAAAGTCAAAATAAAAACGACACTTCCATCCAAAAGGTCCAGAGCGAATCTGGTGTTCTTTACTGTGCGTCGTGTTTTTACAATTTAATTTTGTAATGTCACTTTTCTTAAGTTTATTTTTGTTTTTTTAATTTATTTTTTTAATTTAATCCGCATGACTTGTAAGCGTTTTTCGTAGTGTAAATACTTTAGCTTTAAAGAGTTTTAATTAAATAAATAAAGAGCTACCTAGCCCTGGAGCAAAAATAACACTACGATAGAACGAGATCCCCCAGAAGATGCCTATAGAGTCGTCCCTTAAAGATGCCTACTTAGGTTGTATGTGCTCGGAAAAACAGTTGCAAGCAGGAAATTCCATTCCTGGGCTGTGCGCATAATAAAAGATCACGAAAAGCGCATAATACAATACACTTGACGGGAATATCAACCAAGTAAGGATGTCAGTGAGCATAAATAATACGTATGTTTTTTTTTCTATCTATGTTACGCGATATTTTTTGAACCGATTTGGATAATTCTTTTTTTATCTGATAGAGGACGTGTCTCAGTAGTAGTCTCATTTAAATTTCTAATAAATATTCCACCTCTAAAGGTGACAAACTAGGGGATGAATCGGTTTTCGCGCACTGTCCGTTAACCGATTTCAATAAAACTTGGCAAATAGATGTAATTCTACGAACTTTTCAGGTTGGGTTTTTGGCTTATTTCCAGTTTTCACCACTGGCAACAACTGAGACTTTTTTTGCCATTTGTCGCCAGTGGGAACAAAGCCAGTGATGACAACTGGGAATAATCAGGTTTTTTTAGTACTCCGCCCTGAGATTATATTGTTGTAGATACAATTGCACGATTAAATTATAACCTTACCTCATGATAGCCTCCAATTCCTCATCCATAAACTCAGTCAAGTAATCCATACACCGAGTGCTGCGTACGGCGTAATACAACTGCTTGAAATTTATAGGTTCTCCTTTTATCTTGGATTCGACTATATGCCCGTATACATTGGGGTACTCCCACATAGCAATCACTACCGGAGCTCCGACAAGAGAATACGAATATGGGTGAGTGAAGAAATCTTTTACATCCAAATATAGTTGCCAGAGCAACGCTAGGTGTCCACCGAGAACGTAAGCCTCTTTTTCCATTTGTTCCCCGCGACGAGCCACTTTCATTGCTGCTTGGCAACCTTTACCTTTGACAAGAGAAATATCTCCTTATTGCCATAGTTAAGAAGAGAAGATAGAAGAAAAAAGACCAAGCAGGGCGTACAGTAAGCCAATAACCGCTCACGCGATACATGCAGCCGTAGACGCATACCACACCTAGAGGTGCCGGTGATGATTTTATACCGATTTATCGGATATCGAAGTTATAACAGGTAAAAGAACTAATATTAATTGCTATTTCGGTAACTACTCTAGCAAACCATAAAGTTTTTAATGCCTGGGTCTGCCATTTAAAAAAAATAAACAACTTCAAAAATACGTCACGACAATTGTGTGTGTTATTGTTTGGGCTGGTGATTTCGGTGTTTATTTATTGAAAACATACCGTAAGTAGCGTTTTTTAAGTTTACCCTGAATGTAAATGTTTATAAACTATACTTTAAGGAGTAATTTCATGATAAACATTAGAACCACTCAAACGGAATATTATAATATTTATCCAAGTACACCAAAAATTTCATTAGTGCTTTTTAAGTGCAGGATTTGCGGTGTATTACTGCATTTTATTTGAGATGTTTTTGTTAGTAGTACGGAGGGTATTTATTTATCAATACAGAATAATAATTTTTATTTATAAAAACTTGTATTTAAACTGAATCCTTTTCTAATTTGCGAAACCAAAAAGCCGCCATTTTGTGGTAGGAGGAGCGCATTGCGTGAGCGGCTAAAGAAGATGGTCAAAGTAAGCAGCTATAAAGAGGTCAAGGAGCTGGCTATGAAGCCCATAGCTTTCTACTTTTAGTTTTGGTTATAGTGACCATCCCTACCAACCCTTAGGGTATACGAGAAGGTACTATAACCCGTGCACGCACAGGAACGTTATAAATTCAGGTCCCCACCCAGATCAGCCCACTGGCTGATACCTGTACACTTACAGGGTTGTCACAAACCTCTGTCACTTGACTTCATCCGGTTCTCGAGAGGCTAGTGCCTCGGGTGGCATGAACCGTACAGAGTGGAAGAAGATACACTAAAAATAATAACTGCGCACACACTCATAGCCCCGCACTATGAAAAAACTTGTACGCCAGGCGACATGGACACACAAGTAAACAACCACATATTATACCCAAACTCACGAGAGAAATAAATGTAGGCCATTCAAATATTTCTTCCGGCCCGAGAATCGAACCCGGGACCTCTGCGTGGCAATCCAGCATGGTCACCGTTCGGTCACGGGGATAGTTAAGACACTGACAAGAATATGGCTGATGATATGAATGGGTCATATTATAATATAATATAATATTAACGACACGTGGATTCAAAAACAAATAACAAGAATATTGGATGACTTACCTAAAATGCTACCAGAGGTTAGCATGGTTCTTAGTTTCCACTCGTCCTTCCCCTGCCCGAGAAAGTCGTTTGAACCTAGTTTGTTCAGGTTGTTCTCGCTTTCCCAGTTGTAGTGCCTTGCTTCGTCCTCGTTGAGACCTAGATTAGTTCAGCACATAAAAATTATTCGTCTATGTCAAGTAACAATATACTTCAAAGAATCGAAACCAAATTACCTACATTTAGGCTGAGAAGGTAGTGGATTATTCTCCTTATCATGCTCTCCCAAAAAGTCTCCCTCAACCAAGTCTCTTAGACCCGTGGAGATGAGTTCTGTCACTTCGTTATTGCGTAATCCGCCAAGTTGTTGCAGACATGTGGCAAGGAGATAATCGCCTAGAAAAATTTTGGTTAACAATCTTATTAGGTAACTGACGATGTTATTTAAAAATTCTTGAAGAATAGAACAATAGGATGGAAAGAAACTGACTCGAGAGAAGCTAAAGGACATTGAATAATAATAACCGAGGCAGGCATACTAAAGTTATCATTATTATTTATTGGACAAGAAAAGGCACAAATTACATTTAATAAAAGGAAAACACAAACAAAAAGTACCTACTGCTTATTTCTATAAGAAATTTCTTCCTGCAAGCTTAAATACAGGACAAAATAACTCCAATAAAAGGTTTACACGCACAAAAAAAATCATGTAATACAATATTCATAACATTAATTAAACTATCATAACGTTCATTCCCGAACTAACTAATAAATAAATACCTAATTTCCATGGCATTTTTTATTATTTAAATCAGGGGTTCCCAAACTTATTTTGTCTACTGCCCACTGTGAGAATAAATTATTTTTTAGCGCCCCCATTTTTTCACCTACTTAAAAACCATTATAACTTCAAATTAAATTAATTATTGTGAGCTATATTAAACATTCATTCTAAACGAGACTTTTACTATAACCAGCAAGAGTTAACTTGAGAC